TTCCCATCCCCAAAATAATAACTACAAAGAGCCTCATATTGTGCCCGACTCACAGAGAGCATTTGGTGCTCATTATCTTGTTCTTTCTCCCAAGAGCAGAGACTTTGGGTTGGTGATTGGGACATCACTGTGGCTAAATCTTGGGAGCTGGAAAGGATCACCCCAAACACCAGCAAGGGAAACACCCTAGCCACAGGAGGTTGTGTATAGGTCAGTGAAGAGTCAGAGTATCCATATATTTCCTTGACCTCATCTGGGAACTTGAGGCTGGAAAATCAATAGGCTTTCTATACAATGAGTCTTGTGGTTTTAGAGAAGCCATGCGAGGCATTCTTGGATGTGTCAGTCCTGGAGCTTCAAGGAAGCCATGTGTGCTGGTACATGTCTTTGGCTCAGTCTCTGCTTCTCAGCTGGCTGACCTTGGGCAAGCTGTTTCTATGATACTGTGACCTCTATTTCGTTGTCTCCAACATGAGGGCCTCAAGGAGGGGAGGCTCTATGGCTCATTCTTCACTACTCACCTAACCAGGCAGGGCTCCTGCTCATCCCCTGAAAACAGTAACGGCCCCCCACCCCAGGGTTTCCTACTCAGTATATGGCACTGTAACTTACCCAGCCATAGGCCCATTGCCTTCTTTGCCCCTCTCCTTTCTCATGTGTCAGTCACAGAATGCTACCCTCTGCAGCTGTCCTTTCATCCCTCTGCTACTCCTGAATCCTGGCCACCATTGTCACCTCTTGGCCCCCAGTCTTGCCCATGGATTATATCCACCCTGCTAGGAGCTTGCTCATAAAAAACAGACCTTCCATACATCTACTGGCACAGTGGCAAAGGCTGCAGGGACCTTTCAGGGCCACAGTCCTCTAGATGTAGAGACGCCTCTTCCTGCAGCCATGGCTGTGTCCATCACTCTGTCTGAGAGGCAAGCTTTCCTGCTTCTTCCCATCTACCCCATAGTCTGCTGTGAGTAGGTGTGAATATATCCCTTCACTGGAAATAACTTCTCTGGTCATTACTGACCAGCCAGGCCCTCTTATTTTATGTATTCTCTTAGTGCTCTACATGTCATCATGGTAACCTTGGTCCTGATATCAAGTTCCATCAGCCTGGTGGAGAGGCTCATGCCTGTAATGCTAGCTTGTGGAAGGCTTAAGCAGTTAGATTGCCCTGAGTTCAAGATCGGCGTAGGCTCCAGTGACTTCATCTTGCAAAACCTAACCAAAAGAAACAAGATCTGCCATCTTCCCTCTGGACCTTTAGCTCTCAGGAGAACTCAGGGCCACATGCATCTCCTTCAGCACCTTAACTGGCCTAGAGTTGTAATCACATCAAATCCAGGAGCTGCCAGGAAGCATTTCCCTTCCCAGGTGGAGAATGATCAGCCAGCACTGTGCCCAGTCCTTTTGCATTTATTGGAACCTGCTTACCCAGCAATCCCCAAAGGAGCTTAAGCAGGACTGACATTTGGAACTCTTATGACCTAAGCCTGGGATTATCACAAGGCTACCTGGGCAGGGAAAGGAGACAGGTAGGGTGTGAAGGGAGGGTCACCAAAGACAAAAGAAAGCAAAAACTTTGTCCTGCTAAGGACCTTCAGTTGACAGGGAGAGTTTTGGTTCCCCACCTCTCCAGGCCCAGGGTGTATGTGTGTGTGTGTGTGTGTGTGTGTGTGTATGTATGTATGTATGTGTAAGCATGCTGACACACGAGCATGCTCACACTGGGGGTGCTGATGTGAGGGGTGGGGGAGGAGATGAGCAGTTCCCATCACTGTTTCTTTTCCTTTATTCTCTCCTTCACTTTTTGAGGTTCAAACTGGATCAGTCGTAGAATTTCCTTATTGGCCAGGGTCCCCTCGATGAATTCCTCCTCTGTAAGTTTATCTGTGTAGTAGAAGAGAAGCATCAGTCAGGACTGGCTGTATCAAGCTGCAAAAGGTGAAACCCAACCTCCACACCCAGTAAAACTGTGTGAAAATATGGACTACTCAGCACTTGCGGGGACCCCCACCACCTTCCCAGATATCACCCCTCCTTCAAGACCCTTAAGCCCTGCTCACTCAAATCAGCCCAAGACAACCAAAGACTGGCACCATAGAGGTCCCCCAGAAGCTATTCCTATACCCTGCTCCTTCTACTGGGGCAGGGCTCTTGCCTTGCTAGTTATTATACATTGAAATCATCAATGATTATAAATACCTGTTTTCATATGCTTTCAAAATTACCCCACAGCTCTAGCCTAAAGTTCTAGGGGCAATTCTAGGAGACTGAGAGAGGCAGTCCCAAAGTCTCAGTGCAGAAGTAGGAACTGTGAGTGACAGTGAAGGAAATGATGAGTGACAGTGGTGTGCCAAGGACAGCCTGGCTTGCAGAAATGACTGTGCTGTGCCCATAATTCCCAGACAACCTGTGACATCAGGTGACACATCCTCTGTGACTGCCTCCCCTGCTTGCAGTTCCTCTTCTCTCAATCCACTCTACTTCATTTGGATGAGAATGGAGAGAGAGCCTCTGCCTCCAGCCATCCAGGCTTCCATGTGTACCTGCGTGTGTGTGTGTGTGTGTGTGTGTGTGTGTGTGTGTACACGGCTTGTGTGTAGGTTCAGTCCAGTCAAATTCGTGTCACTGCACCCTTTCTCTGTGTGCTTCATGCCACTGTTCTTGGGGTTACAAACATCACAGAGGGTGGGGTATAGCAGGAAAGAGAAGGGGACAAAGCTTGTCCTCAGGAAACTTGGGGTCTTGTGGGAAGACACACCCATGTAAAAAGAAGTCTAGGACGAGACAGATCCTTCCTGTTCATGGTCACTCTCATGATCCTCAGGACAGTGTGGACAAGCACTGTAGGGTTGGATTAGATTTCCATTGGCTTACACTCACGGATACTTCTCTGCCTAAGTCTGGGTGGTGAAATTTGGGTTTCAGAGTTCTACCTGCCTCACCAGCCTCACTCCAAGCTCAAAAGTCCCACCTCTGGAGCCTGCTACTGTGATGATGCTGTCTTCAGATGGGGCACGTGAAACACACACACACACTCACACACACACACACACACACACACACACACACACACACACCAGCAGGAGTAGCAGTGAGCCTTCTAATATCAGCAAAAACCAGCAGAGGGACCTTGACACATGGACAGACCCAGAAGGAATGGAGGGGATTCAGGAGTTAAGTGTCATAAGAAGCAATCTAACACAGCCAGAATCCAAGCAAGCAAAGTGTTCAGAGGACAAGCGCTAACGGGACTGGGTACAGGAAGGTGCCAGGGGACTGCCTAGGCACAACATTTAAGGAGTTAGTCACTTGGGGGTGGTGGTGCAAGGATGTGGCTGCCTCTTGAGAGTGAGCACCACTATGAATTGTGTACTCTGAGAGCCTGCTTGCCTCACCTGGCTCCCACCCCAGGGTCTTCCTCTGACATCATCATTTGACTGTGGAGTAGGGATGGATTATCTCCATCTTTGTTTTATATCTTTCTGAGGATTTGCTTCTCTAGCTCTGGTAAGAGTGGTCTAGCACTCTGACATGCTTGAGCCATGCCTTACTGAGACAACTCAGGTTCTAGACAACTCGGATGCTGACATCTCTTAAAAAATAAAAGAAAATAATACGACATGGTAGCAGTAAGGTCCATATTTCCCTAGGGAAAATGCAAGAACTATTCAGGGTTATTTAGCACTTCCTGTCTCTTGGTAGGGCTACCATCCCCTACACTGAATTTCATTATCCTAGCTCCATGTAGCTATGAATCTGAAGGCCCTGTCTGACATCAAGTCAGTCTGTCTCTGTCTCTCGGTCTCTGTTTCTGTTTCTGTTTCTGTTTCTGCCTCTGTCTCTCTCTGTATGATGATACCAATTCTTGTACCGTATCCTATATGGCCATGTGTGCCATTGGACCAACAGCTCTAGCTGCCACATTCTGGAATTCACCCCTCCTTCAAGCCCCAGAGGCTGCTTCCAGACAGCCACTAAGCAGAGAGAGGACATCAAGAAGCTGAGAGAGGACACCTTAATGATTTTGCCAGCACTGTCTTAGAGTGTCACAGCCCAGGTCTTTTTACCTGTCTTTCCTCCCTGTCCTTCATCCCTGTACTGATTCCGGGATTGGGGCCAAGTCCTCATGACATGAATCTTCCCAGTCCCTAGGTCCCTCCCTGGTGGCTGTCTTCTCAATAAATGCCCGTCAATGTAACTGAATCTGATCCTTTCTTGGTGGGATTTTGGGATCATGGAAGCTAACTTCCTGAGATCTCTGCTGAGTGAAGTGCTGTTTTCTCCTGTTCTCACTGAGCAGGGAACATCTGGACAGCAAGCAGCCAGAAGAGATAAAAGGCTGCATTTCCCTAAACCAGTCATTGTGTATGCATGGCCAGTGAGCCTGCACACTTTACATTAGTTCTAGGCTAAAGACTGGCAAAACCAACACTCCAATACACATGAAGCTGAGGCAGGAGGATTACTAGTTTACTGCTAACCTAGCATACAAAGTGTTCTCCTTCCTTTCCCCAATCCCCAGGCAGCGAGTAGGTTTTGTAATAGGAGTATGCTGATCCCCCCATTACTAGCATCAGCTGGAGGGTCGTAGTAGACCTAGCCTGAACTGACAAGCGTCTGGTAGACCACTACCCCTGACTTTTGAAGATAGCTTGGATAAAGTGTGGTGACAAAAAGTGTCCCCCAGTCCTGCCTGAGCACTGTGACTCAGAAGAGGCAATCCTTCTGGAAACAGCAGACACCGTAAAGTCGGAGGTAACAAAGACAAAGGGATTCACCATCATCTTTCTTTCCAAAGAATGTCCAGATCTTCTCAGCCCGCTTTTCTGGAGTGTTTTCATCATCTGGAAGGTGCTTCACATCCTCAGGCTTGATCATTTTGAAAATAGCCTATAGCAGACCAAGGGAAAGATCTTGTCACAAAGAGGAGTAAGGGCTTGGTTGTGCTGAGAAATCCATGTCTCACACCACACCCCAAAATCTACCAGGGTTGGATTACTTAATTTTCTAGCCCAAATTATATAATTCCTAGAGGGTGCTAAGCTATGTGACATTGGTTGTAATAATGATTTTTGAACTATTGGGATTATACTAAAACTTAAGAAGTTTCTACATATTGGAGAAGACAACAAAGTAAGATTACCTTGGGGTAGGAGAAAATATTTACAAACCTTTGATAATGATTACTTAGGGATTAGTATATAACATATATGAAGAAAACCTGCTACTCAGTGCTAAAGCAGTAAGTGGCATTGAGGGTAGTAGTATACACCTTTAATCTCAACACTTGGGATAAAGATGCCAGCCTGATCTACACAGGGAGCTCCAGGCCAACCAGAGATACATAGTAAGACTCTGTTTCAAACAAACAAAACCAATAAAACCAACCACACACAAAATCAAACAATAAATAACTGAATTAAAAACAGACAAGGGAACTAGACAGACATCTCTTTAAATAAATAAATAAATAAATAAATAAATAAATAAATAAATAAAATAGG